TTTTTCAAACTTGGCATAATAAGAACATTAGAACATCTAAAACACATTTCAATTAGAATAATTTTTTTCTGTACTTGTAACGCATTTTCCGTGCAATTAGAATGCAACTGAACAGTTTAGAAAATAAATGCGAAAAAGAGCATAAATATTTCACTAAGTTAGCATCTAATATGTAAACTGATGACAAAAATCTTCAGTTTAGAACATATTTATATAATTGGAAAGAAAAATTGCTAAACAGCATTTTTGTCCCCTCTGGCGCCCTATAGGGAAATGCCATTTGCACAGCTGTGTCTATGCCTTGCGAGTGCCATTTTGGAGACAAGTCATCAACTTTTCTGACGATGTGTCGTTTTGATAACTCATTTGAATATTTTTCACATTGTCAGGTGTTTTTTTGGCTTTTTTAACATTTAAACGGGTTACGTTTTTTTCAGTTTATAAAATTCCCATGAAGAAAATAACATCAATTACATTGGACGCTTTCAAGACTGCTGTCAAAACTCATTTTTTTAAATTTAGCTTTCAAATAGTTTTAACAAGTTTTTACTAGGTAACTGTTCCCTTCGAGTGCATAGGTTCGTTGGTTTTAATAGTTTCTTATATTTTTAATTACTTATAACACAATTTTACCTTACGATATTGTGAAGGGCGGCTGAATATATCCACATGGAGGTCTGCGCTATATAAATGTAAATTATTATCATTATTATTATTTATATTTGTTTCCTTCAGCTGGTATAAAGTGAGACAAAACGTACAATTCTATTTTGACGAATGACGAGTGTCTTGAAATATAAAACGCGAACTCAAAATAGCGAGAAGTGTTCCCTTAAGTTTAATACGAAATACGTCTGGAAATAAAAGTGCCTTACAGACAAAACAGCTTCTTTATATTTATTCCTCCTTATATTCCTTCATGCTTTACTGAAACTGAAGTGGTACTCGGCAGGACTCGGCAAGCACGTGTGGAAACAGCGCACGCAATTGCAAGCGATATGCCTGGCGTGAAAATAATGCAAAATTATTCTAGGAAATAAAGAACAACTTGTGAGGTCTAAAGAGTCGAGCTTGACTGATCTTGACCTGGAGATGAAGATAGCCGGATAAGTTATGTTCATTTTCGGCAGAATTTGGTGGAATGATGAGAAGTCGCTTCCTTTCACCTCAAGATATCCTGACTTGTTTTGGACAGGAATTAACATATTGATTTTTCCAGGCGTAAAATTGGACCTGGCAATGTTTGTAAGCAGTTAAAAAGCCCCTTGGTGAATACGTATAATAAATGATCGGCAAGCTTTGTTTCCATATGCTTAATTCTATGAAATGTGTTGGCCGGGCGGTCGTAGAAAGGGGCTGCTTTAAATCTTGCGTACATTCGAACGAACGCTTAATGATCGTTGTTTACCAATGCTACTTCTTGTTAGTCTGTTATCATCTCGATTAGATTCATTCGCTTACCAAAAGAAGGCGCCAAAGATCTTTCAATGAACCTCTCAGAGTTACCAAATTATTTAATTTTCGACGGCAATTGCATCCGTGTGCGGCACCAGCGCACCCTAAATGCGTCCTCTTGGAACGACTTCAGCATTGAAAGAATTCTCCCCGACAACTGAGTTTCCTCTCGGGAATCCATTCGCAATGAACTAGAAATGCAACCTAGACCAAGCCATCAAAGAAAAAATCTTTGTGCTTACCTTTACGACTGATCTTATCCTTCAATGAAGAGGATTTTCACTCCAAAGTATGGTCAGGGCGCGAAGATCATTCGTTCTACGCAGTTGCGTCATTCAAAAGGCGTCCATTGTTTCTCAGCAGACAACAAAGTATTTCAATGAATATTAGAGAATCCCTGGTAGGGTACAACATAAAGGCTTAGAGTGACGAGGGGGAGTGGGGAAGGTTCATTAGAAACCGAACCTCGTGCATCCCCCTTCTCAAATTTTCTAAGATATCCTTTACATAGGTCAAAGCATTAACATTTTATTTTTACAGTTTCAGGACCACCTTTATCGCTCAAAAAATTAAGTTAAGTCTGAATTTACTTATTGATCATATTCCACAAAAAGTAACTCACCAGGAATTAAACTCTTGATAGATGCTCATTGAATTTCAATCATAGTTTCAAAAGGGTGGTATTTGCCCTAGCATGTGTACAGTCTAGGGTTTCTGTACGACAGCGGGCTGTAATTTTTCATAGGAAGTGTTATGCTCCAGTCAATTGAAACCCCGGCTCCCCGACCCCCGCGACATAGCGGGGGAGTAACGGGGGTATGGCCGTGGAAAAACGCTATTGTAACAACGCGTTTTCCCGATTTGCCGGGAATTTGGAGCGGGGCTTGTAACGCCAGGCCCGACAGAGAGGGAATGCGCCGAAATAACAAAAACTCACGCTTCTATATGGAGGAACCCAGTTTTGTTTGAAGTTAATGTAGGAATGTGCCGCATTTGATTTATTTTACTTGCTAAAGATTCAGAGTGTCAGATTTGTAAAATCGAGTAGCTAGTTTTAACTATTTATCATTCATCAATCTGGTAATCGAGCAGAACTTACTATGAACCTTTAGTGAACCGAAATGCAACATGTTTAATTGTGCCAGACGTAAGAAAGCCAAGTACAAGCATTCATGTTGCAGACCGCACCTTCGTTTGACAGTAATACTCACTTGTCACTATGGGCATGAGCAGTTTAAATTCTAGGTTTCTCCAGCAATGGACCCACATACTTAAATATTAAATTTATGTGATGGTCATTTCCTTATGCATATAAGAGATTGGTCAACTATTATGGAAATCCAGAGTCTCCAAAATATTGTACATACCGGGGCCATGAGGGCAGGGATTGTACCAACATACTTTCCCGATGGGCGGGGTGACACTATCAAACTGTTACATTCCCCGCTATGTCCTGGGGGTCGGGGGGCCGTGGTTTCAATTGACTGGAGCATTATGACTGACTTGATTCAGGGGGTTAGTCCTTATGTAAATTATAAACAATTATTGGATGAGGTTTTTGTGATATCCGGAATAATCAAGGTCGAGGAAAGTGTTATCAGCCGAAGCCGAAGGCTGAGGCTGATAACACTAACCGAGACCTTGATTATTCCGGATATCACAAAAACCTCATCCAATAATTGTTTATAATTTACATAAGGACTAACCCCCTGAATCAAGTCAGTCATAATGCTCCAGTCAATTGAAACCACGGCCCCCCGACCCCCAGGACATAGCGGGGAATGTAACAGTTTGATAGTGTCACCCCGCCCATCGGGAAAGTATGTTGGTACAATCCCTGCCCTCATGGCCCCGGTATGTACAATATTTTGGAGACTCTGGATTTCCATAATAGTTGACCAATCTCTTATATGCATAAGGAAATGACCATCACATAAATTTAATATTTAAGTATGTGCGTCCATTGCTGGAGAAACCNCTCCGCAGATACCTGAACAAATAATGATAGTTCTTCAAGTATTCAAAGTTTACCACAATTATACCGACACAACTATCAGTCTCCTTTGATTTTTATAGGAGGGCTGTCCAGTTGTTTGGTAGTAGATGGTTATTAAAAATAGCGGTCAGTTAGTTTATTGTGGATGCTGCTTTGTCAGACCACATGGAAACAGGAAACTAACCACAAACCGAAAAGTTGGCAAGAACCCTCGCACAAATTCTGACCCTGAAATCAATTCACGCATTTAAACCTGTTGCCTGTGGATTATTCATTAAACTCCACTCAAACTGGGAAATGGCTCCGGTGTAAATTGCTATTCAGAATTCCATAGAACTTATGACTGTCACTTAAAACAAATATAACCAACGAATATAACAAGTAAATACACTTGATCTTAATTATCCTTTGAATATGCTTTTCCTACTTAGGCTCTCTTCTTTCCTGAGTGAACTTATTCTTTGCAGGACTAAAATGTATAACTAACAAAGTAAAGTGAAGACCTTTGGTACAAGCCAGCCAAGTGAGTTTCACAACGGTACACAATTAATCAAACCATTGCTTTATAGTGAAGGCGTGATCTCCACGTCATGAAAGTTATCACCTCTGCCTATGTCATATTAATATTATTGATAACAATTAAAATGATACACTTTGCCAGTGGGAGAGATTCCCACGCCAAAGCAATGGATGTGATCAACTGTTAATGTAAAAGAAACTCTTTCAGGTATGACTTGAGTACTTCACGCTGTTACGGTACCACTACTTGAACAACGTTAGGCTTCACCATTTTAAACTATATAGCTACAGACCTTGGAGTGCAATTAACATGGGGGAAAAAGTGCCCGCAGGCAAGATGGGCAATGTAATCTGAAAAAAAATTATACATACATAATGTTCAGACATAAATTACTTGTCTATGCATGAGTTATATCTTTTAAGAATGACAGTGAAGACGGTCATTAAAGATTTTACAATGGTTAAGCTTTGACTGCAATTTGAATCTGAAGTGGATTGGCATGATTTCAGAGACCAGTGACCATAGGAAATTGTAAGCTGAGGTAACAACAAAATGAAATGTTCCAGTTTGGCCATTCAATAATGATGAGGAATTGCTAGAGCAAGCTGAATTGTAAAAAACTTACATGTTGTGCAGAATCAGCCTGACAATACACAGCAAGTGACCCTTGTGGGAGCATGGCAATAAATGTAAACCGCAAGACGTGTCCTGCAAATATACATTGAAAATTTGCTCCATGACAAATCATAGAAACAAAGCTGGACATCCTACTTCAAGGATGACTCAGCCCCAAAGAAACTTTGCTTTTACAGACATTCTAAGTCATGCATTTCTGGAGAAGCTTAGGGAAATAACACCTGTAGTAATAGGGTGGCTGGTGGCAAAGTGCACATAAGTTTTGCACCTTCAAGGCAAAGGAATTAAGTTCTACCAATGATTCCAAACTGTCTGTTCAACAATTGTATTAATTCCAATAGCTGTATCAAGTTTTCCTTTCATATGTTTTGAAAAGTTAAGTTGTAAGATTTTTCAATTTCTCCCCAGCTTTGCTTGCTGGTGTATTTTCATTGAGAGAAAATAAAAGCCATAAATAACCCTAGCACACGATTGCTCAGACTTTTTTTTGGGTCATTTTTCAGTTTCAATTCTCTCAATGCTCTCCATGGTGATAGTAACAGCGGAACAGTTTTACTTTCTTGGACATAACTATGATTTTTGGCTCTTCTCTGAGCTCAATTTAACCCACGATTGCCCACTAGCTCAGACTGAAATGAGTCTGAGTCAGGCTCAAAACATATTTATGCCTGCAAACACTTACTCCATAGTTTGATTCTCAAAACTACTTTTTCAAAAATTTGAAGCAGACAATGCAGAGAATTTATTTCTAGATTCTAGGGGTGAAACGGTTTGACCCTCCAACCAAGGTGGGTTATTAGGTTACAGTAGAACCACATCTACTTAAACAACTGGGTTGGAAGGGTAGCTGGTGGGGGGTTGGGGGGAGGGAAGAGCAGACAGATATCAAGGGCTTCAGAAATTAGGCTATGTAATAGAACATGAATGGAAAATTGGAAGAAAGTGTCCGTTTAGGAATCAAGGTTCTACTTCACTAAGTAGCAAATACAAAATTACCACTTGGCAGATGCAGCACTCATCATGGCCACTCTGAACTCTGACCTTGCATGGTCCACTGGAAAAACAGGAACCAAATATAGTCAGTGGTAATGTATACAATGTGAATTCTTGAACACTAGCACCTATTTACCAATAAATTATTACAAGATGAAAATAACTTTGCCACTCAGTCTAAGTGAGTCAACTATAAGTACATTCCCATAAAAGATAAAAGATAGTTTGCCAACAATAATCTGACTTTGAATCCTAGTTTGAAAGAGGCAATGTAAGTGAAAGTGCCAGGCCTTAGAATATCAGAAAAAGGCTTGGCTTAGGCTTAATCTATAGCTCATCAAAATAGCTTTGCCGCTCAAAGTCTAAGTGGGTCAACTATATGTACATTCCCATAAAAGATAGTTTCCTAACAATGATTTAACTGACTTTGAATCCTGGTTGGAAAGACGCAATATAAGTGAAAGTGTCAGGCCCTGGAATATCAGACAATGGCTTGGCAAAGGCTCAATCTATAGCTCATCCAAATGTGGACAAGTGTGTCAACCAGTATGCCACTACATTTCCCACCAACTTATTAATATCTGATAATTCTCTCCAGTAATTCGGTAAAATTCAATAATAGCTCCCCAAAAACCCTGTCGGCTGACTGTTGGCCAACAGTCGACCAACAAACGTCCGACAGTCGACCAACAAACAGCCAACAGAGGACCAACAGTCGACTAACAGGCGACCAACAGTTGGCCAACTGTCTACCGACAGTTTCAGCAGTTCTCAGGTAAAAGTGTGAGCCGACAGCTAGCCGTGTGTCGGCCTACTGTCAGCTACCTGTTAGTTATTTGTCGCTAACTTTACATCAAGTTGTGGGTTCACCCAACATCGTTCCTGACGAAACTCTTTTTGTTGTCCGCCATGTTTAATTTTTTTTTTCCAGTCCCAATCCCCCAACTTTTTTATTTAGTCCCAATCCTCCAATTTTATGAAAATCCCAGTCAAAGAGCTTCCTTTAGGAAGTTTTTCATATTTAATTGTTGTCCCTAATGTTGTTTATTTCTTTATTTTTTGTATTTCGACATGATCATTAGTTGGTCATTGCTTTTGCAAATGTGGTGGCTCCCAAAGGAGCCGTTTTGTTTGTTCGCCAAGCTCTACTCGTAGAACCTTGGGTCAAATTTCAAGGGCAGCAATTTGCCCTATCTCCGCAGGTCAGCGAGCACTGGAAAGTGTTTTCGGAGGCGGCATCTACAGGCAGTTTCCAGCTCCTTTACAGAGTTTCCTTGCTGGTCCCTGACCACCAAATCATGCTCTCGGCTGTCCACGATCTTTAACTCTGCTATGGCTACAAAGTCTCAGACGGTGCTTCTCGGGCAATTCACCATTCTGAAGGCATTCGCCATGCTGCTGTGGTGCTGCCAAAGTGTGCAGATCACCTTGTTATACTGCTCGTGGATCCCGTCCAGACTGTGTGTCGCGACCCTGGTGGTAGCTTTTCGGGTGTCCGGATCACTGTCTGCTGGTCGTTGACTGGCCACAGACCACCGACTCAGTTCATCCCACAGATGGATCGAAATTGCAGCAAGCAAAGAGAAAAGAGTTGTGATTGGTTAGTTATTTTCCAATAGGTGTTTGATAATTGATTTTTCTAGAAATGGATTAACCAATTAACTCGATTAACATATGAGAGACCAATTTACCATTTCAATGACTAGTTTCTGATTGGGTAGCTCTGATCCGACATAAGTTATAAATATGACAACAAACCACGTTTAATTTCATTACTACGTGCTTTCAATCATGAGGCATTTTGAGAAACTTACCTTGGTTCAGAGTTTCCATGCAATTTTCACTTTCCTTGTCTATCATAGCTTAATCACGTCTAAGTTCAAATGCCAGTGCGGAAGAATGTCCAGTAAGAAGCTGTAGAAAGAGGCGATCGATTTAGGCAGGATCGTTCTTTGAAGATCCGAATATTCCACTAGGGCAATGGCTTTACGTTATATCTACCTTTGGTCAATTGAAGAAGAGTCAAACAAGCAGATTTCCATTCTGACTGGATTATCACTGCAAACAGTCTGCGTAACATTGCAGAAGCTAAGATATCTGCTCCTTAAAGATCCTGAATAGCAACGTCAGATTAGGCGGCCGGGGGAAGACAGTAGAGATCGACAAGTTCACGTTTGGTCACAACACAGAAAAGTTTTAATGTGTTACTATTAATCCAAGAAACATTGACTCATATAAACAGACTGAAGCCCTACAGATTGAAGATCAGATCATTACCAATCAACACTTCGCAGATCAAGTAACTTGCAGTTGAAATAGATGACAAGCTCAATTTCACCAGCCATATCAGTAACATTGGCATAAAAGCCAGTCAGAAAGCTGGTGTCTTATTGAGACTACGAAATTTGATAACATGCAAAGCAAAACTGATAATCTACAAATCATCCATACTGCCTAATTTAACATACTGCCATCTGGTATGGCATGATTGTAGATCTTCTGACAGCAGAAAAATAGAGAAGATTCAAGAATGCGCCCTTAAGCAGTGTTTAACTCCCACTCAGAATCATGCGAAAACTTTCGGGTTTGCGCACAGCTACCTTCGCTAATAAATCGAAGACCACTTGTAGATATCCCAATATTAATGTACAAAGTAAAATATGGCCTCGTAACGAGTATTGATGACGAACTATTTAAGCAGTAAAGCACTAGTTATTCACTAAGAAACAGTAATTTTGATATTCCGATATTTAACACTATTAACTATGGAAAGCATTCACTTAGATATCAAGGACCTCATATTTGGTCGAAATTAGATAATGAATTGAAAGACTCCTCGAATGTTGAATCTTTCAAAACGAACATTAGAAAAAAAAGATCTAACGTCACTCTTAAACAACAACAATAACTGCTGTAACCTTTGCAATTCTTAGGGAGTACCTTTTATACACCTATTGTTTTTTATCATACAATTCACATATTTATTTTTTTATTTGTAAATAATTAAAAAAAAAAAAGAAATTTTGTATCCCCAATTAGTTGTGAAAACTAAATACGTTGACACAATAATAAAGCTCTTACTTACTTTAACTTACTTACAAGCGCAATACAATCGCGGTCGAGTTTCGAAAGGCTCATGGGTGCTCGGTATGGTGGAAAGAGGCAGTGGTCGGGCTCCAACCCTTCCGTGTTCCTGACCGCACAAGAGAAACCCTAGTGACACGACTCATTCAAGAATTTGTCAAACCCGGGACAGTGATCATTTCCTATAAATTTTCCCCTTATTTCAACCTAAACACCCTCGGCTACATCCACCAAATGGTCAACCACTCAGAAAACTTTGTCAACCCATATACCAGAGCCCATACGAACACCATAGAAGGACTCTGGGGACAGGTGAAAAGAAAGCTGAAACAGCATGATAGGCATCTTTAAGGACAAACTTCCCAGCTACCTCGATGAGTTTAACTGGCAGTGACTGTTTCCAGGAGACCACTTTGAAAATATGATGCGGGATGTCGTGGAGCCCTATCTTGTGAACTAAGGATACTTTGGGGCATTCAACAGACAAACGGCTCCTTTAGGAGCCACCAAATAAAATAATAGTTTTTTACCAATGCATTTTTGTATGTTACTTTTTGTTGTACCTAAACTAAATTAAATAGTCTCCCATCTTTCTTTCTTCGTGACATCGAAACCTGTTTTAACTGAGGTAACAATGATGTGAGAATCAGAGTACACATTGAGTAAGCACACATGAGTAACAGAATAAAAAAGCCGGCATTGCACTGTTGTTTACCGGTATTTTATTTAAACCAGGTTATTTGCACGAGTTTAGTATATTAAAAAATAATCTGTCGGTATACTGTCGGTGAACTGTCGGCCGACACTTTACCGACAGTCGGCTGACAGGTTTTTTCGGGAGCTATTATTGAATTTTACCAGTAATTCTTGTGGTTCTTTTGGCATAACAAAGGAAACAAGATCAAAAGTACAGATTGGCAATAAACAAAAACATTATGACCTTTTTTGCACCTGATAAAGTACTTACAGATGTCGATACTTGAAACAAGTTGTACAGATTGCAAGGCTAGTAGCTTGATCATGCTATCAAAGAAAAAACATAGCATAACAATATAAAAAAATTTACTTCAGAAGCAAGTTTGCTCACATTTTAAAAAAATGTTTTGTCTGACATTTGGCTTGATGCATTCTTTTTAAAACATAAACTTCTACACCTTGATGTATGCTTTTCGAATACGTTTGACAACAGCTGTCCACAGCAATATTTCTAAACATTGGCATTAAATGAAATCCAGTGTAGGTTATGGGACTACATGTACACAAAAGTCCCTTGTTCTACTTAACAATATTGGAGGAACTCTCGACAGGTAATACACAAAAATAAACCCATGAAAAAGCACAGGATTAAAGAAAAAACAAAACAGTATGGATATTAGGATTCCTAAAAATAAAACTGTTAGATTCAGAAAATTACAGGTTTACAAATCACATTTACAGAATGAGATTTGTGAAGATTACCCAGTCAAGTTTTCTCATGCTCAACTGGTTTGTTCTTCATGACACATTTACATTTCAGAAATAATTCTGGCATTCATGGTTTTTCTGAGCTTCCCATGGAATTTTTGGTTATTCTATGACTGAAAGAACCAGCAATTTGATGACCAAATGCATAAAAATATATCAATAGCTTATATGTACCTCAACAGGACATGTGCACCACCATCTTCTGAACTGTGGGTCCCTAGCTGAAATCCTCATCCTTGCATCTCTAATACCCTGTGCCAATGCCTGTGGGCTGTAGTGGGTGGCATCCAATGACTCCACAATACAGGTGGTTGTTATCCCAATAGACCTCTCCTGAAGGGAAACAGTAATTTTATAAACAAACCTCCTTCAATTCACCTCCACACCTGAAGTCTATTTTTCAAAAAGCATTGCCTCTGATTGCAAACAACGGCTCCATATTATTAAAATATATATCATCTGGTCATATTTGTTAAATCTAGTGTCAACAAAATGGCCACCATCTTGACTTTTTGGCAAAGTTTTAAATGTACATCATTTTGTAATTTAGTGTTTGATTAACACAGCTTTATCCCTTCTGTGTGATTTTGGTCCTAATCAACCCTACAAATTTTTGGTTGTTTTATTACATAAAAAAAAATTTTGTTTACTAAGTCCTTACCTTTCAAATTAATTTAAACAACCTCCCCAAACACACAATTGTACCTGCTTAATGGGTGACGAGTAAAGCCTTAATTACTACTACCCCAGTTACCCAGTTTGAGGGAAACAAGTTAATGATTTCTTTCTTTCCCACAATAAGAGCATTACTCATCAGTTTTAGGCACCTTGGGTTGTAACACTGCAACAAGTAACCATTGCACTCAAATAAGTTATTTTCCTTTGAAATACCTGTACATTTGTAGGTAGATAGGTTGCATGAGGAAAGAAAAATATTACCAAAAGGATTTTGTTGGATCTAAAACCATATTTCCAAAGCTAAAAGACTGAGTTCTTACCTCCTGATGCAAAGAGGGTGTTTGTAATGCCTCTGGACAAGCCTCCCTTTCTCTCCTTTTCTGCAATCTTTCTTCTTGTCTTTCGTGCTCTTTTCTTTCAAACTTTTTCCTTTCTTCTCTCTCCCACAGCACTCTTTCCACCATTGCACAAGCTTCTTCAACACGCTGTTCCAATTCAAGCAGGGAGTTATCTGTGGACCCCACCAACTGAAAAGTACTATTTCCTGAATTTGGTCGGTAATACAAGGGATCTGGCCTTAAAGCAACTTGGAAATCACCAAAGTACAGTTTGGCTCGGTCTGCATTGTTGTAACTTTCACACAGACATTTGGCTTCAGCATGTCTTGCCAAGAATGCATTGGCCACTCCACTGACGCCAGGTCCTTGATGTGGAACTAAGTCAACCAATGAGGAATCAAGTGAGGAAACTTCTGCAGAACTGTCTGCTTTAGGGGGTCTGCCTCTCGGTCTGGCTCCTAAATACTCCCATTCATTTGACCTACAGCTCACAAAAGAATTAGATTGATTAAGGACTGTGTCTATTTGGTCAATGTTCCTTGCACCTGAGAGATTATGTTGAGGAGTTGATGTGTTTCCACATGGAAGAGAATCTTGATTCACGCCATTTATGTTCTCTACCTGTAAACTAACTATTGAACTTGAATCATTCGGATTCTCAGATGTAATAGTTACAACAGCCCCCTCATCATCACTGTTTAGTGAAGTTTCACTTGAGTGCATGACTGGAAGGGAGACCTCTTCATCACCTTCAATACCAGCAGTCATTCCTGAGGTTTTTTCCATTTCATCAGAATTTCTATTCTCTGTGTCAGAATATGTTACCAACCCATCCTCCAGCTGATCTCTCTCTTGAAGTGAATCAGAGTCCCTTTCTGATAATTCATCACTGTTGTGAGAAGAAGAAAAAAGTTTCTCTGCTAGATCAGAGCGATTGATTCCTTGCAGAAGATCTCTAACATATGTACATGAAAATTCTCCTCGCGATTCCAATTCCTGAAACAATTCAGAACCTTCTCTGATCTTAGCAAGTCTAAAGCTGTCCAGTTTTGGTTGAACAAGGCCTTTCAGTCTATGGAACTCTGATTCTGACAAAGAATTAGAGATTTCCTGAAGTCTTTGACGCCGGAACAAACCTACAATAGAGGAAAACATATGAACACTAAGTATAATAAGTTGATTTATAATCATTGCAATGTTAACAATCCTATGGACATTTATTTTAATTAACTCTTTAGAACAGTATAGTACAATGGCTTGAAAGGAGAAATCAAGAAAAATATCAAATTCAATTGGTATTATTTACAAGTCTGGTTTCTGCCTTTCCAAAACTTCCTTACACTCCTTATATTATAGTTTACCCTTCCTTAACTTGTTGTGTTTCAGTTTGGAGATCGACATATCAGTTTAATTTAAATCATACTATTATTCTGCAAAAGAGGATAATCAGAATCATATCTAAAGTTTCTTTTGATTCATATACCGATGTTCTTTTTAGAGAGCATGGGATCTTAAAATACTCAGACATCTATTTCTACCAAATAGGTAAATTTATGTATCTGTTTAAGAGGCTGACTTCCTGATCATTTTCATGATATGTTTATTCTTGCTGGCCAGATACATTCTTATAGTGCAAGAAATTTCAGCTTTATCTATATACCTCATTGTCGAGCTAATTTTCGAAAATTTTCAATTCGGCTCCAAGGTCCTAAGTTTTTCAACACACTAAGTCGGGAAATTCAATACTCTGAAAGCATCAGCTTATTTAGCAAAAGGCATAAAACTTTCTTTCTTAGTTAAATTAATTCTTTGTTAAGCAACACACCTTTTCTTTTTTTTTCCTTTTCTCTTTTTTTTTTCTTTTTTTTTTAACTTAATCCAAATTTTCATTCAGCACCTTTGATTTGTATGCTTTATCCTGTAGTTTAATTAAGGAAGCCTATACTTTTATAAGCCCCGGGCTTCTAATAGGCTTCCTTGCTATTACCTCTTTAGTTCCTTAGATTTTGAAGCTAATTTATTTAGAACAGTTCTTTTTATCTTTGATGTATCATAAATTTTGTATTCAGTTCATTTTTTTTCTGGTAATGGTAAATAAAATGAATGAATGAAATGAATGAAATGGTTTCCCAAGCCCCAATGTCAAAACAAATGATTTTGTAGGAAAGTGAAAGTTCAAATGTTCTCTATCCCTAGCTTGACTTATACAGGGGGACATGATTAATTGTTGATAACTTTGGGTCATATGCCCAATGACTGCAATTCTTGTTATGAATTGATTGCCAAGGTAATGGGTGCTTGACCTGGAAAAACACAACACAAATTGATGCAGATGTAATTTATGTGGTCCAAGAATTCAGACAAGTGAAATACATACAATACTTTAATCAAGAGAAGAAAATAAAAAAATTACAAAAATATCTCTCAAAAGGAGATATCTAGAGGTCAACCCTATATAAAAGATTCCCCAAAATAAAAAAATAAAAAAATCAAAAGGTAAACCAAAACATTATATACAGATAATTAAAAAGTATTTACCATCTTCTCAATCAAAATTCATGTAAATCCTTAATCTGTTACAAAATAAAGTCAATGAACCTGCATGTACAATATCTTTAGGCAAATTATTCCACATATCAACAATCCGTACAAAGAAAGAAAATTTGTAGCGATTTAGAATGGCTACTTTTACATGGAGCTTATAATCGTGATTGGCTCCAGATTGGCTCTAGTTTGACTACATTTAGTAAGATAAAAACTCTCTACGTTTCTCCAAAGTTTGCCAATTCAATAAGCAGCAATGGTCTTCTTAGCTCATTTCTCCAAGCTTTTGCTTTAACGCTGACCTAGATGCCCTACTTTGGACTTTTTTCAAAGATTCAATATCCCTTTTTGGTAGGGGCTCCAGACGGGGGCAGGGTATTTGAGTATTGGTCTTACTAACAACTTAAAGAGGCAAGAAAATGCATACCAATTATTGTTTCCAAGTGATCGCCTAATTATACCCAACACTTTGTTTGCCTTGTTTACTATGTAGGAAACGTGTTAACCCCAAGATAGATCATAGTTTATCGTGACCGCCAGGTCCTTGGCAATGTCAACAGATTTTAGTTGCGCACCAAGGGAATAGCTTGGCTTAGATCTGTCTCTACTGTGCGTTACATATGCATAACTTCACATTTTTCAGGCTACTTATTAGCCCAATCACTTAATTTGTTCAAGTCCAGCTGTAAGGCTGGTACATCCTTGTCAGGCTCGATGATCTTGCGATAGATTTTAGTATCATCAGCGTAGATTTTCATGGTTGATGTGATGTTTGCCGAAATATCATTTATATAATTATAGTGATATTTGCTAGCCAAAACATTTACAACTGACGGATTTCAGATCAATCAGGAGAGCTGGAGAGCACATTCTGTTCAAAGTTGAAAATGAGGGGTCTTCATTTGCAGGTCTTTTTTGGTGGGTCTTTGATTATAGGTCTTCTTTTTCTAGTATTAATTCTCTGGGTCTTTTAAAATAAAACAAGTGCTTGATGGCGTGCTTTATCCCTATATTAAAAAGATTAAAACCTGGGCTGGTTATTTCCGACCAGAAACCATAAAAAGATCATGTTAAATCAAGAAAATTAAGGGGTTTTCATTTTCAGGTCCTTGTTTGTAGGTCTTAGGTCTTGGATTTAGGGGGGTCTTTGTTTCTAGTACAACCAAGTGTAGATTGCAGTTTTAGTTTTTCATACAATGGATTTATAAGATGAAACAACGATTCTTTACCATCCAATCAAAAACCTAACAAAGTAACGACAATTGCAAGGCAATTACAGAGTACTCTTGGATTGCACCATAGTCGAGCGGAAGTGACTTACCCTTCCCTCCTCACTCAAAATGGGGACTGCAAAGTTGAAAAGATCTCATGGCACCTGAACTTCTAGAGATGCAAAGACCTGGGCAAGTTTAGTTTTGGAAAACATTCCTCTTAATTGTTAATTCATATATTGCTTATTGTCTGGTTAAACCCAATCTTATCACACCCAAATGATACTCCATAACATAGGTGCAAGTAATTAAGAAAGGGAAAAGATTCACAAAAATACAACCTTCAAAAATAATTGCTTGATTTCCTTACAGGCAAAAAAAGTGGACGTAGAAAGAGAGCAGGTGACCAAGAGATTCATTAAGATCTGGGAAACTTACTGGTAAACTAGGAGAGTTTGCATTTACTTATGAACATGCTGCAAGAAGCTGCTGCAGTATGTACGATATACTTTTCTTACCTAAGCTGTCCACCAGACATGCCTTATGGTAAAGGTCAGATGATGCCTCCCTAGCTGTACCAGGCCCACTCTGCTCCCTAACATCTTCAGTAAATAGCCGAGAAATATTCTCCCAATGCCTTTGTACTTGAAGAGCTAGTATCTTCTCTTCTTGGAGCTTCACTGTCACTGTCAGCCGTGCTAACTCTTCCCTTAGTTCACGAATATGATCCAAGAGGAAGGCAATCTCTGTGTGTCGAGGGATATATTTCATAGTTTCCCTTGTTTCTGTGTCAGGTGACCTTGAAAGCAAACCAACTTCATCAGTCGACAACCATTCACAGCACTCAGGACCAGTCTGTTTGTCTTCAGTGTGTTCAGGCAACAATGGATTGTGCACTCCAAGAGCCACAGGTCCTGCATCTTGTTGAGGAGTCAGGTCAAATGATGAGGAAGACTCTGAGGAACTGTTCTTTTTCGGGGGCACATCTCTTGGTCTAGCACCTAAATGCTCCCATTCATTTGCCTGATTTTTGACACAAGAACCAGAATGTCTGTCAGGGAAGTCTTCTCCTGATCTCTTAATTTCATCCTCACTTGATAATTCCTCAGAGCCAGTTTGTGGCTTACTGAAACTATTTGACAATGTTTCAATACTGACGTACTCCCCTTGTGTCAATTGATTAAATGCTGCTTCAGCTACAGTTGGTGAGCTGTGTTGTATGAACTCAAGCATTGCACCTAAAGAACTCTGACCTACTTGGAATGAGTTTAGAGATGATGTTGAGACACTTGAGGGTGACTCGTTATATAGATTGTCCTCAGGGCACACCGAGTCAAATGAAGACATTTCACCACCACCAGAAGCCTGTAAATAAAATCGATCGTGGGTAACTGTTGTTAGTACTGCATCACCAAAATGGCTATCATACCAGTCACTTGGGTTGTTCTGTTAAAAAATTGGATAAAATTCCTAAGTTAAACAATACTTCCACATTAAGACATCCTAAGCCAGACAAATGTATATGTAAAGAACTAAAGATAATTAAACCTTTCTACTAACAGTAATTTTCAAGAGGTTACATCATTTGAGCATATGAATGATGAAACATTACACAGTACTGCACAGGCATGTACTAAATATTGTCAAAATGAACCAGTCCTTCAAGAGGAACATTCACATTGTTATAAACTCAGCAATCTATAATTAAGATGAAAGAATAAAATATTAAATAGCAAGGCTGTGCTCTAACAGAGCCCGGTGGCCCCTGGTGCTTTACTTTTGCTCTTGGGCGACTCGGAAATCTTAGTTGTTTCATACAAAGCATATGCTTGGCACCCTGGATTTCACAGTTTCAGAGCACTGGGCTCCATTCAATTTTCCTTAGAGCGCAGCCTTGAATAGTTGATTTTTATATGCATTACTCAGAAATATACTGCGTATATCAAGGTTTAAGCATGTCACAAATTCAATGCAGGTAGTAAAAATAGTCAAGTTCCAATTTATGCATGAATAGAATATGGCCTGGCCTGGGCTTCGAATTGCTCAGAATTTTTGAGACTCAAAGCTGACTATATCTTGTTTTGTTCCATTAAGCTCAAATAGGGTAAAAATGGAAAAATTCATAACAACGTGTAACAATTTCTGGGTCAACTTGGCTCAAGCCAAGTCAGCCCTAACAGTGATTAGAATTTATTCAATGTCTCCTCAAAACACAGTCTCGATTTGCAAATATGTATGTATGTTTCACAACATGGCATTAAAATGATCTTTCGCTTAGATTTCTTACATTGTGGTACAACAGAAAACAACAGTAGAAAAAGAAAAAACTAGACTACTTTGCAAGTGATGGCAGTAACTTGTTCAGTGCAGCACAAACAATCTCAAGCTGAATAGCTGTCCCCACCATTGAGAATGGGAAATTTTCTTGATCTGGAAATTTTTTTAACTTCTCTATGGCACGCTCAACCAAACTCCTAAGTTCATTGAAATGCTGGATGTCACAATCCTCACTTTTCAGGACAGCTGTTTGCCCACAATTGAACCTGTATCAGGCAGTCACCCACAGGCAATGGTGTGGTGACCACCTTATACAGATTGACTGCTTTATAGTACTGGTTCAACAGAATTGGGGTATTTTGAAAACTTGGGGTATTTTGAAAACTTGTACAAACCATTTTCTAGAACCAATTATAGTCTAGCAAGATTTAGCATAGTGGCATCACAGACCTGGCAAACAATACCTATTAAAATAAAGTGTTTCTCCGCCAGAAGCTTTAAAAGAGAATATACACTCTTCCTACTCGGCGGGCAGACATCTTGATCAACTCTAATATATCATATAGCTTTATTTTTCATAACTATATAGTGTATATGCTATCTCCTTAAGTATTCAACCACCACCCATCTGTAACTGCTCTGGGGTAGTAGCCAACTCGAAAGCTTGGCTTCTTTGGCTACTACACACTCTTTCCCCTGCTTTGTCTAATTTCATGTATAGTTACAACGCTCTTCTTTTTTCCCTTTTTTTCTTTCTTACAGTTGAATTTTTTTTCGAAGAATAAGTGTGAATAAAGTTCCTTATGTCCACTTATGTGCAAAAACTCCCTAAACAATACCACTAACATAGATTTCTGGAGACAGTAGTGGTTTAAAATTTTACTTAATTGAAAGATAATTCTTAGTTTCATTTGAGTAGTCCCACTTTAAGTGACTGTTCAGTGCTGAGGGGAACTCATGGAGGTGAAAATTACAGTAATCAGAGGTAACAATTTCAGGACTTTAAAACCACCCAATTAGTACAGGTTGACTACTTATATAGTGTTGCTTGAAACAGGTTTGACTATATTAAGATATATTAAAAGGTAGTTTAACGACAGGTGTCCCAAGCTCACGTCTCAAGGAAAAGCAAAGGATCATTTCATGAAACTGTCACGCGTCATGTGACGTGGTGTTAATTAAGTTATGTGAGCAACCATCGAGAATTTGAATGCATAATAACGAATAGTAGTAATCAATTTTACTTGTAAAATGCTCTTATTTTGGAATATCTAGTGTTTTAAATGGACCATATTTTGTTCCCCATACTATTCGTTATAACACATTCAAATTCTCAATGGTTGCTCACATAACTTAACACCACGTCACACAATGTATGACAATTTCATGAAATGAGCCTTTGTTTTTCCTCGAGACACGAGCTTGGGACGCCTGCAGTTTAACAACGCCATAAAATTGCAACCATAACTACTTGAAGTGAGTCTGAGAGTCCAAAATTGCTTGAAATTTAAAGTCCAGCAAGCATGAACCACATTTAATCATGTACACTAACTTCAAATGCTGAGAGAACAGGTAAATATAGAAAACAACACCCTCTCTTGAATGTTTTTTTTTTTTGATAAGCACTGTTGGATGTATAGATTGATACAGTTCTTTAATTTGTTCTTTGTTCAGTTTAGACATTTTCATAGTTGAGACTTGTTATCATGCATTATCTCTCAAGAGAAGCACCAATCGTAAGAACCGTTTTTCAAACATCTCCTCTCGCATAGTTCTCTTCCATTTAGATTTGAAACGAGTTTTGGCTCGAATTCAAAGCAATTCTTTCGGAGTTTTTCGTCCAGCTGATGTCGGTAGAATTTTATGAGTAAAAATTGGAAACGTGAAGTGAAATTCAACAACAATAGGGACAGACTGAGAATGGGTGGTCCACTAGCTAGCTCCAATAGGGTCAGACACAAAACCATTTACCAAACACAAAACAAAAGTAGTTTTTCCTAAATACAATTCAATCCACTAAATTACAAACCAACTTCTCCCAACTCCAGACTCTCTTGATTTCTTTTTTTTGCAGAGTCTTCATTTCTTTATAATTATTCTCATGGACCAAATCAAAATTAGAAGGAAAGTACTACCTTAGGATGCAAAGCACCAAAGAATCATATCTCTAGATGGTTACACTAATGAAAGCTTTTACTTATATATTTCAATACATTTAATCAGGAAAAGGAAAGAACTAATTGTTGAAATGCGTCCATCCATCCATAAAGAAACAAAATCTAATGACATCTCTTCTCCTTATACTAACTAAGCAAATCAAAACTATTTGGAGTAAAAAACAATGCCCCAACAAATCTGATTGGAAAAAGCATCAAACCTTGTGATACTTTAGAAGAGATCTGTTTTTCTAAAAAAATACTGGAAAATTTGGGGTAAATTCTGCCAAATTAAAAACAAAGTTTTTCACAACTGTCTCACTGAGTGAATAAAAACTACATGAAAAATGTATGGGATTTAACCCGCAGTGTTGACTACGTAAAAGTCGTGACTGGGAAGGTTTGATGCATAAAAATAGATAAACATACTTGTATAAATGGTGTCTGTCAACAACAATGGCGTGGCATACAATGTTCTTGAGTCATGGGATTCTCAATAAAACTTTTGTCAAGTATTGAAAGTGGTTGGCCATTCCATTGGGTATTTATCATAAAAAAATCTACATGTCCCTGTTTAAGATGATTTCCAGTCTGTATAGTGTCCAGTGCAGCCTCAGGGTTTGTTTTCATTATGATTCACTTCTGTAACAGTGTAAATAAAACTTTCCGATCCACCAAAAGTTGTTTACATTCAATATTCAATTAGCCAAAATGTCAATTTGGGAGAGCCTCAAGGCTCCTCTAGCTTGTTTTTTTTTTTTTTTTTTTTTTGGCAAAGATACTTATGGTCAATGATGAAGGAAAGGAAGGTTTGTCCCTCAATTTTTATTTCAGCAAGCAAACATTCCTTCCTGTGTCTTCGTAACCACTGAGAACCAAGACTGTACAGTTTTGCTGGAAAGCAATGAACCTTTGACACTTACATGTAATAGGTGCTTACGAAAAATCAAAATTTTGGAGAAACTAGAAAAGCAAACGCAATGCACAGTAAATTTTTATACAACATCTTTTCCCAAAACAAGCCCCAGTGAAAGAATACCAATTAAAATGAATAACTTATTTACAACGAAAAAGCAAAAGGAGTGTATCAGGTGCGTGTTTACTCAAAAGTCAAGATTTAATAAAAATCGCTAGTAAATATTTCTGCACTTGCAGACCAGATTTCAAAGTGAGTAATTTTGCAATTTGTCCGTACATCATTGGAATCTTTCAATGTATTCTTTTTCGCTCATAACAGCAAATCAAGAACTGTTTTGAATGAAGTTTTAGTCTCGAAGTATTTCTTGGTCACTTTCGTACGACTCTAAGTATGCATGGCCCACGCAGCAGAATCATATCGTTGTTTACCTAACCAAAGCCAGAAATTTGTGGCACTTAGATGATCAGGAAGGGTAATAGTTCGTTTTCAAACTACCCTTCTGAGAAACTCCCACCAAAGAAAAAACATTGCAATTCGATGGTATAGCGTTTCCTGTAGCAAAGCGAAACCGATCAAATCACTCAAGTAAAAGTGATAAGTGATACAGATTCTTGGCGTAATGGAATTTGTTTGGCTTGAAACATTGATGAAGTTTTCCCTTCACTTTTAATTGGCATCTGCAGCGGAAAACGCTTACTTGTTCTGAAGTGGTCTTAAAGAAAATATTTACGGTCATTAACTCTTACCAGGGAGAAATCACACAGGTTTCAAACGCTTCACAAAGAAAAAGCCAATGAGCAACTGGTAAATCTGCTTCCTAGTAATACGCACATGCAGGAGAAACATTTCAAGATTCGACACCCAAACTAGAAACTTACCTCAGTTATCTGATCATCAAGGGACTCGTCCGCTTCAAACTCGTTAGCCGCCATGTTGCAAAATAATCCGAGGGCTCTTGGGATAGATTATCAATAGTACAAGTTCGGAGAAAAGGAAAATTCCTCGCTAAGGCCTCAATGTTTCAATTCCACGAAAACATCAAAATTAAAACACACGGCCAGTGCACCCGATTTCATCTCTAAAATATTTTGTTCACCTATGACTCCAGTTACAGAAATCTCTGAGTAAGACGAAATCACTGACCCCTAGTCCACGGACCCTCCTTTACGGACCCCCCATGAAAAGACAATAATAACAATGACAATTTTTTTGATTGTTATTATTGTCTTTTCATGGGGGGTCCGTAAAGGGGGATCCGTACAGAGGTCCGTGGACTAGGGGTCAGTGTTTTCCTGTTACCCATCCTGAACCACCAAGCGGATTTCCGAGTCGATAGAAAAATCACGCCAAACTCTGACCATCTCAATCCAAGTTCGCAATTAAAATGAAAAGACTTCAACCTAAATCTTCTGCTTCTGATGTTGAAGATTGCTTGATGTCAATCCCCAGTTCTTTTAGCATTTCATCGCCTCCGAGTGGTAAACCCGCCATTTTGTTATATATAAGCATTGAAGTTGCAGAGGATGCTGGGGCTCGTCTGTTAATTGGGTTTCAAAAAAAAGCTACCCAAGTCTACCTATAAAGGAACAACTTTTACTTGTGATGGTACACTGTAAGAGGTCCATTGCCAAGTTGATCTTTTTTTCTCGAAAATCAACACCCCAACAGACCATTCTTGGAGAAACTGGGGCAAAATGTACTCTGTGGGGGGGAGGAAAGGGGTGTGACGAAGTGTAACCATGAAGAGGCTGGAAGATGGCTTTGACAAAGAGTGAATAAGTGAGAAAAACAAAAAAAAAAACAGTCCACAAACAATCTTAACTCCATATTAGTAAATTCCCCATCAATCAAACGTCATTAAAGTTATTGAAACTCAAAAGGAGAAAATATTTCTCACCAAATACATAACCTTTTCAGTCAAAAACTAAATGTATACATTCAATTGGCACAACTGGGTGTATGTCAACTCAACATTCCATTTAATGAAGACAATAAATAAATATAAAATATTTTAAATTCATCAAAAATATATCTCTGACTATAATAAGCAATAATTTTTCTTGACAATTTTCATTTGCATTTTTCTTCATTCTGTTTTGGTTTGGTACATTTTTCAAAATTGTGAAAATGAGTCAAACTTCCCTTCTATACAACAGTTAATAGCCTGGCCAATTACTAAAGGCATTTGGCTCAAAAACTCGGTTTGACACTTTTAACAACAAAACATGAACTTCTAAATGTCTGTCAAAGCAACGTACAGCCTTGTAAACTTATGGCCTTAAATAACTATTAATAAAGGATTAAAAGAAAAAACATGGAAACTCGAAAAATGCATTAAATACAATGATTTACATAGCCATTTCTTCATAACAGATTGAATAGCCTAGTAATTGCAACAATTGATGTGCCAGAGAATCTCAACAAATGCATCAGCCAAAGTTGAGCTGTACAGAATGTGAACACTGGGAAAGTACACTGAAAAGATAAAAATTTATATTCATATTTTAAGTCTTATTAACCCTTAAACTCAGAAGTCATAAATCACCCAGAACACTTGTAATGAGAATACTCTAACTTATTAGGTAGACATTATCTTGACCTAACACCAAATTCTCATGATCGACTTATAAGAATATGTACTAGCTTGAGGGAAGAATTAAATTACTAGATCGTAGGAGTTGAAGGGTTAGGAAAAATAATTAATCAGATCAAAAAAATTATTTGGGCACCTAGTGATCATAAACAGCATTATTGACTTTGAAGCTGACAAATACACATCCCGCTGGAGGCCAAAAAAATTTCAAAAACAAACAGGATTAAGATAATTATCAGATACTAGAATGTCCAGTTATCACGGTATAACACATTTACCACTGCACATAATGTCTCTACACCAAGACTAGCTTACTTGGCTCCTTAAAGTGATGAAATTCACTGTGCTGTGATTTCTTGATTCCTTTGGAAGAAAATCATTTCCTTATTGCATTTTACTTGCTTCAAGGGAGGCTTGTCCTTTAAGTCTGTAGTCAGCATAGAATTTGCAAAATACTGCCAAATCTGCTTTTCTACTCTGTGGTAAAACCATTGTTGGAGAATGCCTCAATGTAGATTTTCACTCAGTAGTCTACAAGCAGTCCCTCCTCCTCAGCAAAGTCTGTCATGCGAGTGAAAAGAAATTAAGTGAAAAAATTGATTTCAGCTCACCAGTCACTTTTTGTTTTCACCGATTTTTTTTTGGGCACACAAAAGACTTCCCAGAAGAGAAGGGACTGTTCAAAGTCTATTCACTCAGGAGCTGGGCTGTATAATGGATGTCGGCAAACTGGACAGGTTCGACTAAAAGATAAAAACAAACATGATCTTAATAATAATAATAATAATAATAATAATAATAATAAAAGTCTTTATTCCATCATAAGATAAAACTACATATCTTATGTTACAATGAATTTGGAAAAACTACAACAGAAATCTACATACATATTATGAATTAAAAAGTATGTCATCACAATAAATGGAGCTTAAATATCAATCTATTTACAAAGGTGTTCATAAAGTGCTGTGTATTAATTTTCGGGTGTGCGCAGCCTTTTTTCCTAAGATTGTGTACATATGTCTTTTGGACAGGAATGAGGTCTTTCAAGGGGTGGCAATCCGTTGACTTTAGTTTCTTCAAAATGTTTCGGTCTTGTTTGTTTAAAAGGTTCTTGATAAAAACTGGAAATGAGATAAAACTGCGTTTATGACATCGGTCTAAAAAATTTTGTACAACCCTATGATTGGACTCAGATGCCCCTTAGACTGAAAGTGCATAGCTAAAATTAGCCAAACCAATGGATATAAAAAGATGATCAAGAATGGCACAAGCTAGGAGTTTATTAATCAGATCACCAAAACCTCAACCCTACATGAAAAACAAGACTACCAGAACAAGCCTCTACATGTACACCTGTACTTACAACCCTGGCTTTCAAACCCAGTCAATTTCAATTCTTAAACTCCAAGAAGTGATGTTCAAGTAGATGTAATGTACCACCATACAGGCTTTTCACACATAAAAATATTACCAGGAGGATAGCATGGAGGGACAGAGAATTGTTCTCCACAAATTAACAAAAAATAGCTCAGGCCACAGAAAATGGGACCCAGAAATCTGCAATGTAGCTGAGGAATTCTGCAAAGTGGCAACACATTTCTTTGATCTCCCAATGATTACCCTGCAAGAACAGTATATTACCCAGCAAGTAGGTGTCACAAATAAATGGTAGTTAGAGCTACAGGATATCATTCTAACATCACATCATTTCCTCAACCCTATTTAGGAGCAAGTGCTAAAACAGAGGTAAGAGCTGGGGCAGCAACCAAAACTGTTCCACAAAAGAAGATCAGTTGATGCAAAAAGCTGATGCGTGTATATTCATATCTACAAGTCATTTATTTATGTATGTTATTGAAAAAATTATCATAAGGATACTTACATCCCATTTTGTATCATAGCTATTGCACATTCCCGATGAACTTTGTGGGAGCAGGGTAAAATTTGACATCCGCTGAATGCATCCTACATTATCAAGAGAGAGAGAGAGAGAACAATCAAGATACAAGTAAGATAGGATGATTTTGTGCTTGTGTAGTGGGAAAAGCAATGTAGTTGCTGCACACATGTCATGTTTTGTGGTGAAAAAAAAGAGAAACACTATGTAAATAGTACAACAGGTAGGCACTGAAGATGGAAATGTGCATGACAACAAACAACCTAAGGTTTGGTATTTTTTAAGGTAACAGCTCACCTCAAGACAAATACAACATTCATCATGGCCAGAGTCTGGTCTACACTTGTGTTTTCCTTGCAGACGCTTGTCAAGACATACATTACACACATCACAATGGAAAGATTTGTCTTTGTGTATCCTATGAAATGACAACAAAAGAATCACTCTTCAGTAACACGAACAAACTGATGTGGAAAATTATGGAGCTAAAAACAAAAAATCAACCAGACAAAAACAAAAAATTGGCAGAGTAATGAACTTTGATGAAACATAAGAACTTCATCAAATATGTCTACTTCAAATAGACAAATTAACAAACTAAACCACTACTAAGGGCTAAGTACACATTCTTGCTCAGCAAGTTAATACCAAAAGTGCTGGCTCAGTTGAAATATTATGACTTTATTCAAATTGGAGCTCAGCATTTAAGAAAAGGTCTAGTAGTGGTTATCTTTCACTCTTAGGTAGTTTGTACCGCCCACTTTAGGGGTTCCCCCACCCCACAACACCCTTTCAATATTTCCCATGATCTACATTATAGTAGGTGCCCAATGCTAAGTAGCAGGAATTTAACAGCAAGAGGAGGAATGTTTCATCTGGTGGCTGACTGTACATGGTGGGTGCCCTTGGATACCAAGGGCAATCACCCTTCATTTGGTAGAGGCAGTAATTACTCTTGGATAGCATTTTATCCATTTTACAACACTCCTCAGTGATACATATTTAGGACATAAAATTATAAAGCTGTAGCCAACTAGTAGCCAGTCAATTCACACATGCCAACTTGCACACATAATGAACCAACTTACACAAGTCATGTAACAAAATATACTTGCACATGCTTAAAATCACCTTCCTACATGCTTCAATACTGCCTATTTGGCCAGATAAACATTACTAAGTGCATGAAAATCTCCAACTTGTGTAAGCTTTGCATTTTGGATCTAACAATTCTCCACATGAAGTGCTCAATCTGCCTGTCATATATTGAGCAAGAAAGGTTAGAGCCACAATATGTTTGAAAGTATAAAGGTTTGGATTTCAGAAAGGAGGAGAAGTCAAGCAAATATTCATGAAGTATGTGGGACAAGTTCATAGAAGTAATTTTTTCTTTTCTCAAAATTTGTCTGGTATGCATTTTCCTGTAATCAACACTGGCTATTAACATGTGTGTTAGCCCACCTCAATTTTCATGTGGTCAACAACATCTAAAAGCTCAATAACAACTCTAAAAAGTTCCATGGATCTCTAGATAACATAAAGCCTGTGTGAGTATATCTATTAAGATGTGCAAGTTGGTTCATTATGTGTGTCAGTTGGAATGTGTGAGTTGGTCAGTGGGTGAGTCAACTGTAAACCAGCCAACTTAATCTGAGAGTGATTCTTCAAAAATTCTGTCTAAAAGGTAACTTACCTACATATCCCACATTTCTCACAATGATAGGGGTTTTTGTCAATGCTTGTAAAATGCTTGCAGATTCCACAAAAATAAGCTGACACCTTTGCTCCACAGCTACGACACTTGGCACTGTCTTCACCAATCTGAAAAAAAAGGGAGAAAAAGTTTATTTGCTGATTGGGAAAATAATTTAGTTTCACCAGGTAAATTACAGTATATCACTTGTAGGATCAGTTAAAATGATGCATTGGCACAAATTTATCTCATTACTATTATAACAGAGAGCAGTGCCTTAAGATTATCCATTTTTGTTGCCAATTGTGTGGCAACCTGTGATGTTTTAAACACCAAACATATGGACTAGAGTGCAGTGAATATAATCCACAGTGCAGCTTGAAAAAACTTCAAAATTTACCAATAATAGTTATGACTTACAATGCAACAAAAAAGCCTTTATTTACCTCTTGTTCATGATGACAATAGCTGCATTTAAGGTGAGTTGCATGACTTGCTTTAGCTTCCTCATTGTCACATTCTTTGGAATTGTTATGGCAACGGTGGCATGAATAGAAGTTGGTACAGCAAGGAAAACGAACTCTACAATGACGTTGGTAATGTTCACAAAGCCACAAAGACTGTCCAGTAACTGGTTCCTGCTGTTGAGGCCATCCTCTGGCTTCCTCTAGCTCCCTTGCCTCTCTTTCTCTCTTCTTCTGTGCTCTTTCTGCTCGTATTTCATGCTCTTTTCTTTCAATTTCTCGTCCAAACTCTTCTCTTTCTTCTCTTTCTCGAAGCACTCTTTCAACCATAGGTCATGCTTCTTCCACACGCTGTTCCAATTCAAGCAAGGAGTTGTCAGTGGACTCCGCTGACTCAATGCCATAGTTCCTATTGGGTGCTGAACCCTCAGACTGGCCAGAATGTTGATCTTGATCTCCTCCTATATTAGCACCAGATGTTAAGCAAGAGTCTGAAGAACTACCATTACTGTTTCCTTCTCTATAGGTTCCAGAGGCCAAATGACCACCAACTGTGTTCAATGCATTGTTTACAATTCTTTGCCCTGATGTATTCACACCATTCCTGATTGAAGAGACTGGTGACATATTAGTACTTCTACCGGGTTCTAACCCTGATAATAGTATGCTGTCAGATCCATCAGCCCTTGCTGCTAAAGATGAAGTTAGAACAACTGTTGAAGCATTTGGCTGGTTACCATAAGTTTGAGCACTACCAGATGCTTGCATTTGCAAAGACTCTGAGGGTAAAATTGATGTGGTCCCAGTCAACCCTAAATTATTTTGAGTACCAAGTACAGAATGTGTCATTTGAGTTCGTGTAATCCCTGTAACATCAGAAGTCAATCTTGAGCCAGTGAGCCCTGACAGTAAAATATCACTCCTATGCAAAGATGAAAATTGCTCATCTTGGAGTAGTTGAGGCTCTCTTGTGTCTAGTGCAAAGTCATTTGCTACATAATTAGTGCTCATATCAGTTTGTGTTGTGCTCGTATTACCTCCAACATAACTGTATAAGGATCCAGGTAGAAGTACTGAATTACAATTAAATATGCTATTAAGTAATAAGTTGCCATCTTCACCATTTCCTCTGATAGATGCTCCACCAGTCAGAGGAAACACTGAAGAATATGATGGGTAATATGTTGGATCTGGCCTTGGAACAACTTGACAGTCACCTGGGTACAGTTTTGCTCTGTTTAAGTTGGCCAAGTTTGACATGCCCCCTATATAAGAATTAGCTCCTTGTAATGAAACTTCTTCACCCAACATCCTCTCTGCATCATTGTAATACAAACTTTCATGAAGATCTTTGTCTTCAGAATGTCTTGCTAAGAATGCATTGGCCACTCCCGAAACTTGTCGAGGAACCAGGTCAACCAATGAGGAGTAGAGCGAAGTTGGTTCTAAGGATCTATTTCCTTTGGGGGGTCTGTCTCTTGGTCTGGCCCCTGAATGTTCCCATTTATTTGACTGATTGCTTGAGTAACAATCACCCTGAATTATTACTGTATCTATTTGGTGAGCAGTCACTGCACCTGAGAGATTTTGGTTCTGAGTTGTATCTCTATGTGGAAGTGGACCTTGATTTGCACTAGGTACTGCTACTTGCTTTAAACTACCTTGAGTTCTATTTGGAATACTGACAGGACCATCTACAAGATCACCATTGCAAAAACCATTAAAGCTAGTTAGGTCTTCCCTTTCTCTTGCACAGTTTGCAGCACACCCGCTTTTCACCTCTTCACTTTCAAAATCTTTATTTGCTATGAATGATGACAAAGACCTTTCTTGGTTCTCCATACCACTACTCATGACATCGAACACATTTTTGCCCGAACTCTCCCAAGCTTTTCCAGCCTGATCAAAATTCAGTGTAGTAGTAATTGAGCATGTATCTCCAGTTGATGGCAGTGCATTATCAGCAGAATTGATTGATGACTGTGATAAACTAGAAACTGAATCACAACTCTCAGTTGATAATCTTGAATTACTAATGCCTGTAACAGAATTTGAGTCAGGTAAATCATTTGCATTTAAATTAGAGGATGTAAAATCACTACCATTGTTATATGTGTTTCCATTGGAATAGTTACATACACTAGTTTCACTACTTTCTCCAAATTCTTCCAATTCATCAAAAGTTTCATCAGCTTCATTTAAGGACCTATCAGGCCCTTCATCTCCCAGATTTCCTTCTAAACAAGAAAAAGTGTCTCTCCCAAAAAAATCTCCATTTTCATCGCTTGAAGTAATAAGTTGCTCTGCAAGATGAAAAGAATTATATTCTTACTAAAACATACTGTATCCCAACAAATCAATTATCTCCAAAATTTCCATAACAAAATCAAAGCAAAACATATCCTCATCCTGAAAAGTGTAGCTCTACTTACTTAACAATCTCATTCAAGAGATTTGGTATTACTCATATTTTTTAATCAAAATAAAGTCCAATAACGTAGAGATACAAATGACTTCTTTTTCTCTTTTTTTTTTGTTTTTGTTTTTGTTTTTGTTTGTTTTTTTTTTTTTTGCAGTAATTTACCAAATATCTATAGACACAGCATATCACGAACTGGAATAAGAACATTCTACTGACAACAATTATTCACTTGACTCTGATGATGACTTCTGCACAGGTTATCAAAACGTCAGTCACTACCACCGACAACAGTCCTTCTCAGGACTACAGTCACCGGGACGATCAGACTACACCTTCACACAGCATATCATGTCATGCACCCTATCAACTTAAATAAAGGCCTCCCTCCAAATGAGTGCCACATTGAGACTGAGAAATTACTGTTATTCCCAATTGAGTAAAGTGCAATGGAAGTTTCAGGGGTTCCATTAAGGTTTGGAGGAGGAGGGTATGTGGATTTTGCACCTGAGCATACCCACTGTATATAACTCAAGACCCAAAAGGCCTTGTCTCCTTGAGTAGGGAGGGGGGGGGCATGATCCCCCAAAAAATTTGAAATCCTCAAGTTACAGAGATGCATTTTCCTGCATTCATGATCAGAAATCATTTCCAGAAAGGAAAATCGTTTCTTTCCATGATATTCTTGATTTGACACATAAATCAACAGGTAAAATTAATTTTCTAAAGCAAGTCCTTAATCTTGTACCTATTAAATTTTTAAAATAACTTGCCCTTTCATCAGAAAGTGTCAGGAATGATTACAGGAAGGTATGGCTTCTGTTTACACAAAGTCAGAAGAAAATGTTCACAATTTTTCAACTTAAGTGTAATTTTTTACCTGATCTGTCAATGGAACCTGCACCATGAAGTAGTTCCCCTTCATAAGATGCCCCTCTCGCTTTGACAAGCATACTCTGCTCATGGGCATGTTCATCTAACCACTGAAAAATCTTCTCAGTACGACGCTTTTCTTTACTTTCAAGGAACAACTGCCGTCCCACCTCAGCTTCTAGTCCTTGTTTTTCCTCTTCAATTTTAGTCAATTTCTCTTTCAACTGACTTATATCATCCTCTTGTTTAGGACACTGATCCTGATAGGCAATAACATCATCTTGTAACTGAATAATTAAGCTGTTAGCAGCATTAACTCTGTCATTGCATTGGCTAATGACAATACTATTTCTTCCACAGCATGGGCATGTGCCATTACACTGTTCACTCTGTTGGCCCTCTTGGTCACTCTTCTCAATGCCATCATCCACAGAGACATTTCCTGCCTCATTGTGATCTTCTTTCGTCTGCAAACCTTCTTCATTTCTTGACATCCCCTCATCGTCTGCTAATAGCTTTGGTGAAGCATCAAATGGAGTTCTAGTGTGGTCAGTGTTCTCTTTCAATTCAATAGACACTTCTTCAAATGCAGATGGTGACCACTTTGGGGGGTAATCTGGTATATTTGCTCTTGCATCACTAGGACTTGCAGGAAGTGAGTTCAGGGATGCTGTTGAGCCAACTGATAACAAAGATTCATTATGTTGCTCATCACAAATGCACTGAAAGTTAGGTCTGCAAGTCTCATTTTGGTCTTCAGATTTAACCTCGATAAAGTTAACAATCAAATCCTTGATCTGTCCTGCATAATAGCTTTCTGCCTTTAATCGCTCTTGCAATTGCTTACATTTCTCTGAGGGAAAGTCTTCTTCACTCAACTTAACAAACTTGTCAATCAGGGAAACATCTAGGTCAAGAGCTTTGAAAGCATCTCGTGCTAATGTTATGAGGTAATCAAATTTATCCTCATCAACCATTTCAGTTTCAGCTTCTCGACAAATTGCATTCTGTAACAAACGAAGTTGATCTACCACTAAAGCTACTGTCTCTGCTTTGTTTCCTGTGGGACTTTGAATACTGTCATGGAATTTTCCACTGCAAGGTTTGACATATAACTCATGTAATGAACTCAACTCTCCTGACTTATTTGGTTGAGCATGAACTTTAGTATTGAGGATGGCTTTAAACAGACTCACACAATCTCTTTCAAGGTGGATCACAGTACCATTTTTTACAGGGCCAACATCTCTCACAGCTTGAGCAGCATCAAAGCTATGAAAGGTCAGTGAAAGGTCCATCAACTTCTTCCACACTTCTTGCATCACTTGTGGTAAAATATGGACCACAAAAAAAACAAGTCTGTAAAAGTTGAGTACCTTGGGAGGAAATGCCTCTGCTCCAGGGGTATTCCAATTCATGGCTGGTCCAAGGTTCTTCAGCTTCACCAAATTCAATTGTTCAGCCAAATATTCAATGTTCTTTTACTCCCTAAACAGTCAAGTAAAATCACACTCATCACAAACATGCTCAAGTGAAACCTCAATAACAAAATGACCCTCTCAAATTTGCTTACCTTTCCTTTTCTTTCAACCAAATAAACATGTACACCCCCAAAAATAATACACAGAAAGTAAACTGATACAGGATCAAAAGGTAAGACAAAGAATGAAAACAGAGGCCTGTTTTTTTTCAAATCACAATGTTAGTATTATTTTCATTACTTTTACATTTCTAAACACACCTTGCAAAGTCATCCTGACTGGAAATTCAACTCAAAACACAACTCAATCATGAAAATAGTTTTTCATTTACCCTGTTCTCATCCTTTTACATTGAATACTAAGGTCTACAAGTCACCCACCCAGGTGTAAAAAAAAGAAAGCCAACCAATGTTGGCAACTGCAATGCTTTTTATTCCTTGCAACTATAAGTAAATTGAAGTGAGGCAATACCGTGCCAAGATCTTTGTGTAGCTAATAATCACTTCAAACTATATGTAATTTTACTGTGTGTATCCAAGAATATTCAAGAGAGAAAGGGTCAGCTAAAACAAGTCAAAAAAATCATTAACCCTTTACACCCTAACAGTGCTAACAATATATTCTCTGCACTATTCTCTATACATTTCCTCTGGTAATGACAGAAGATTGGTAATGATTTACTTTATTTTCATGATCTTAATGAAAGATTCAGCTTTTTACAGTGAGGACAAATTAGATGATGGTGACTTTTAGAGGTTTCTAAGGTTAAATGTATCTGACTTAAAATAAAACCACACAATTTTATTATTAATACACCTGGAGTGTAGATTTTCTCTCCTTCAAACATTCTTTCACGACGCAAAGCCTCATCTCCTCGAATTCACACATGTACTACTCTAAGGCACTTAAAATGAGCTGGAGGATCACTATTTTAATCATACAAGACAATAACATCACAGAGACTTGTTAAGTGACTTTGGTCAAGCAACAATTCATTGTTGGACTGTGCCAATTAGATTCATCAAGAACATTGTTATCATTTCTATCAAAACAAATTTTTATGTGGACTATTTTGTTACTGTTTGGTGATGCAACAATTTAAATACACCATTAATAGAACTAATTTGCATCTTTGAAAACATGAACAGACTGATATTTAATGCAAAAATAGCCATTCAAAATTCTAGCTCATAAATTTATACATGAATGCCTAAATCTTTGAATAAAAATTATGCAAATGAAAATCCTTTATGAGTGGAATTAACTGGAGAGTTGTCAACTACGGATGTGACCTTAAGTCTTGAATGGCTGGAATGTTCTTAAACTGGCACCCTGCCATAATTCATTGAGGCTTGTGGTACTGTTGAAGTAATGGAACACCAGGGAGCTAGCAGTGGTTTTATGTTCGATGAAGAAAGAATACAGTGTAAGGAAATGTGCAGTCTAATAACATCACAATTAGATAAGAAAGTTGTCTCCCAAGGAGTTTGTTCTTAATGCTATAATCAAAGTCAAATGAGAAGGGAGACAGAAAAAATATTAATTTACAAACCAAAACAACAAAGGGAACACACTCAGCAATTTCCTTACACATGCCTCTGTTTGCTTAAAAACACAAAAATTACATCTGTTTGCCAGTTAAACCTCAATCAACCAGCTTTAAGTTCTGTTGTGTGGTAAACTCGGTGACAGGTTATAGTTATTGTGTTTCAAATAGCAACAATAATTGAAGCTGTAATGTGTTACCCTTTTCAAATAGTGATCACTTGAGTGAAAATATCGATGGCAGAACTTTCCTATACACAAATGATACCGAAATTGTTGTTGCAGTAGAGTTCATGACAAAACGTACAAAAAAGGTTGATTCTGCAATTTTTATAAAACACACTTCTCCTACAATCTCTTTACTGATACAAAAATTTAAATGAAAAGTTACCACTCATAGTAAGGGGGAAATTTGTAAGGTTCACAATATTGCAGAGTTTCTCAGATTTTATGCTTTAAATCATTGAATAACTTCTAAATTTCAGTATTGCTGTGATCTCAATCCTGCATAGTTCACCAATTTGGTTTATGAACCTTGAGTGATAAATTATACAAAGTTGTTATCAACACGGTCTATCACTTCTTGTTGACCTATCGCAAAGCAATCATCTACCTCAGTAAGAAATATATTTTGTTTGACTACATTTGAATTAACACATGTATTTCTACCTAAAGCAAGTAGAAAACGCAGATTTTTGTTTTAAGTAAACATGGATAAAGACCATATACTTGCGTACTAGTGATCACCAATCTTTCGAGAGGCAGGGCTCGAAATTAACAGTAACCCGTTAACCATTGGTTAGTAATTTTCGACATTTGGTTACTAAAAATGTGTCCAACTAACCCGACATGGTTAGTAAAATTTTCTAACATATTTAAACATTGGTGGACTTCGGGACAGAACATGTGTAGACCCAACACTCAGAGGAAAACTTAGAATACTCAAATTGTTAAATGAACTTAATCTCTTTTTAGAGAATGTGCTGTAGACGTACTGTTCTTGACTAATCACAGCAAACGCGAGGGAAATAAAATAGGTGCATAATTGTCAACAGTTTTCAGGTCACCATGTAATTTCAGCTACTCTTTAATTTGTCCTAGTCATTATTATCGAAATGTTCAATATTTGAGATATCGAAACTTGTCAGCTTGGATACCAAACTTTATAATTTGGTTAATGAAAAGGACGTCTACTAACCCGAAGGGTTAGTGATCAAAAAATTAAATTCGAGCCCTGAGAGGTGATACAGGATTTGTTATCCACACTTTTTACCCCAGTCTTTTCCTCCAAAAACTTTGTCAAACTGAGCTCTTTCAAGAATAATTTGTTCTAGTTTAGCACATCTCTGTGAGCCCATTGCTGGCAACTGTGTCATGCAATTCCCTTGAATCACTTTGGTCACAAGAAACTTCACATTCAATTCCAGGTCAAAAAATAACTTTAGAGTTGTGCCAACCTTGCCCACAAAAGAAATAGTCCAAGTTAATAACATAGTAGTTGCCTAAAACCATTAACAATCACACCACTTAGTTTTAGTTGTGAAATGTTACTCTCTTGTTTAGGCTTGAAAGCTGCAATGAAGGGCAGATAATAATAGCATATCATGCCTTAAGCAGAGCGCAGAAAATAATCACTGTCCAACAACATAAACTGCACAGAGACAGTTAAAGGGTTTTTAAAGGTCAATTATGATTGTCACAGAAAAATATTTTCAATCTTTCCGAGAACAAAATTTCGAAACTATCATCCATAACTGTTTGGTATTAAAATATTTTCCTTCAAGTCCACAGCTGTCCTTAATGCAAAACCACCTATGCATGGGGCACCAGGTGAAAACTGTGACAGACACGTGATCATAACTCAGTCAATGGCTCCACCACTCTCATGATTTTAAGCCAACCAATCACCTGCCTTTACGTATTGTTGTAAATAAAAAAAAAATCCATTTCAAGATACCAAGATTTGCAGTCATATTATATAAGGAAGGACATCACCGTGTGACAGGCAGCTCACTAGCTTATGCCTGAGTTAGCGGGCTGGAGGGGAGGCAAAGCTCTTCCAGTATGGAGAAGGAACTTAAAGGATAATTTTGATCGAAGAAGTCCATGAATATGTTTTCCATGGTAGATGGAGGTCCCCTGGACTGAAATGCAACGTTTCGTTAACTGTGCTCAGTGAACTTTCAGTGGGAAGACTGGACGCATTGAGTACTTGAGGGATGACATCGATCTACGGTTTGCAGTGAAGATTTAGTTTGAAAGAGACTCGGTTTTGTTTTCTAAATATCTTTTTACCCTCTGATTGAAACATATAGGCTGAAATGGTGAAACCAAAGCGGGCATATGGAAGTACGCCACTAGCAATTTGAACACGATCTCCAGGTAGGAGCAAAATAGTTTCGAGTACACAAATTAAAAATTCAGCTTTCGAGCGTGGCCCTCGTAGGAAAAAAGCCCTCTTATTGTAGTGAAACTCCTATTTATCTAGCTTGATCGAGCAGACAAGTGGAAGACTGCGGTTCACAACAAAATTTGACACCTTCGACCGCACAAACGCCTTGAGAAGGGAGTTCGATCAATATTAATTTTGTGGCGAGTTTCTAGATTTCTCTGCCATCGAAGACGCCAATTCTCGATACGTTGTTTTTACCCTAACAATAATTGAAAAATTTCTGTTTAATGTAAGAATCACACCTTTGGTTTGTTACGTAAGGTTTTGGTAAAGTTGTTGGATTGCAAAGAGGTGGTTTCTAGGTGTGCAAACTCGAGGACTACATGTCCGCTTAAGGCAATTCAAATAATAAATTTTTTTCAAGGCAACGAAACGTTCAGGTACTTTCCCTCCCTTTAACAATATCTATCAATTTTATTGTAGTTTCTATCATTTATCGTTTACGAGGCTGTACAACAAAAGCAAAACCATAGAGCAGAAGCAAAGGAGAATGAAATACAGATCGTAAATATAATTAATGTCAATATACATACTATCCTCAGTAACTAGCTTGCAAGAAATTCAAGAAAAAAATTGCATCACGCCAACGTTTGAGACTAGTTAGCAGACATCATGCCTATAATTATTACCCCAACATTTGAGACTAGCTAGCAGACATCATGCTTATAATTATTACCCCAACGTTTGAGACTAGTTAGCAGACATCACGCTTATAACTGTGGAAGTGAAAGCTTCTTTGTCGAGGGTTTGTCATTTAAGTGCGAGTTAGGAGCAAAAATTATGCTGGTTAGGAGCAGAATGTGAGTAAGGAGCAAAATACTAAGTCTTTTCATTTCGAGTAAAAATTCCATTACTAGGAACGCCTAGACGATTCTGAAAGAAAAACAGAGTGACTACGTAATGGAATAGTACCTTTGATACAGCTACGCCACAGCATCGAAGCGCGGTAACACAGACCTAACGCTACGCGTTAATTTGGCAGGTGATCTCCATCCGTTCTTACAACATAA